ACGCTGATTGGCTGTGTACGTGAGTCAGAGATGCTGATTGGCTGCTGTACGTGTGTCAGAGACGCTGATTGGCTGTATACGTGCTTCAGAGACGCTGATTGGCTGTGTACGTGAGTCAGAGACGCTGATTGGCCGCTGTGTGTGAGTCAGAGACGCTTATTGGCTGTGTACGTGAGTCAGAGACGCTGATTGGCTGTGTACGTGCTTCAGAGATGCTGATTGGCTGTGTACGTGTGTCAGAGACGCTGATTGGCTTTGTACGTGTGTCAGAGACGCTGATTGGCTTTGTACGTGTGTCAGAGACGCTGATTGGCTACTGTACGTGAGTCAGAGACGCTGATTGGCTGCTGTACGTGAGTCAGAGATGCTGATGGCTGCTGTACCTGTATGAAGGCGTGACGAAGCCCGAGGCAGGAAGCTGGGAATAAAGACTCTCTTTGGAGACGAGCATCAGGTGAGGTAGACGACCCACGATGATGCAGGATCGGATATACTGCAGATAGACAGGTGGAGAGAGTGAGACAGGTGAAGACAGGTGGAGAGAGTGAGACAAGTAGGGCTTGATGATGAAGTTGTTACCTTGTACTGACTGAGAGGATACTTCTCCAACAGGTACTCATCACAGCCACACACCTGAGAGAGAGACAGGCATTCACACAGACAGGTAGTCAGATAGACAGACCGGTAATCAGACAGACAGTCAGTCAGACAGACAGTCCTAGAGTGAGTACCTTGAGGATGTACTGCCCCTGGTACTCCTGCACACAGAGGCGCAGCTGTTGAGGCGACAGGTGCATGGAGCGGCTCTTCTTCCTGATGGACTCGGCTATCAGCTGCTCAGGTAAACTGTCATGGCTCACCTGGACAACAACAACAACACAACAACAGCACCTAAACATAGAACAATAGAAACATCCATCCATCTTCTACTGCTCATCTGGAGTCTGGAGAGACCCCCTGACCCCATCCTCCTGCAGCACCTCCCACAGTATCTCCGAGGGAACCGGGCCATACGCTTTCTCAAAATCCTCAAAACACATGTAGACCGATAAGCATACTCCAGGCCAACCCCGAGGACCCTCCAGGCCCTTCCAGGCCCCCTCCAGGCCACCTCCAGGCCCCCTCGAAGATCCTGGCAAGAATCCTTACCAGGACAAATCTGCATTGTTCCTTCTCAATCTGAGGTTCAACTATCGACTGGACCCTTCCTTCCAGCACCTTAGAGTAAACTTTCCGGGGGGGGGGGTGCTGAGTAAGTAAAACTACCCCCCTGGGGGGCTGAGTAGAACCACCTCCCTGGGGGGCTGAATAGAACCCCTCTTGATGGTTCCCTGATCCTCTCCTGATGGTTCCCTGTTCCTCTCCTGATGGTTCCCTGATCCTCTCCTGATGGTTCCCTGATCCTCTCCTGATGGTTCCCTGATCCCCTCTTGATGGTTCCCTGATCCTCTTTTGATGGTTCCCTGTTCCCCTCTTGATGGTTC